CAGCAGCACACAGAGACAGAGACGGTGGCGTTTCACTATTCTAACTAAATTTCTCCCAGAGAACAATCCAGTTTTTATGAGATGGGGAATGAAAATATAAATTGGACAGGAACACCCAAGTTGAAAAAATCACTTCCTATCAATAATTAAACCCACTATTCAATTACTCAGGCAAAGCCACATTTGCAGTGTCCCAGCGAGGCTGGCGTGATGCCTTACGTTGTGATGGGAATGAAAAGCATGGTGTTTAGTTAGGGATGAAGAGGAACATAGATGTATATCCAGAGAATCACATAGGCTCAGCTAGCACCGGGACGGGGACAATGGGCAGGACACAGCAGCTTGAGAAATCAAAGAGGGAGGTGGGCACTGGGGTTTGGGACAAACTTCATTTGTGGCATGACCTCCAATGCTTGTGGAGTGCTGTGGGGGAAGATCAGGACCACCACAAAAGGCAGCTTCCTAGGGGCACCCTGTGGGGGACACAAGGCCAAAGCCCAGTCCTGGCAGAAATCAAGGCCTCAGATTTTTTATCCTAGTAACTGGGCAACACCACTATTCACGTGGGCCATAAAAAGAGGTCTCGGGAATCTCTGCAGGTGGCAGAACTGTGCCTGAGCATCTTTTGATGATCTGGAGCCTGGCTTGAGAGATTCATGGATAGACGAGGAAGAAATAACATGGAGATGGGGAGTTGGCCGCGAATTCTAGGCTGAGGACTTTGCCTTGGGTGTTGTCCTAGGCAATGGGGAGTCACTGCAGGTCGGCTCAGGGTTGGAGGACACCTGAACAAAGGATGTGACCACTGTCCCCGGGATGTGTGAGTACCTTCTGCTCACATATGATTGAGCCGCTCTTGATTCTGTTTGCTCCACATGTGGGAGAATGGGAATTTGGTGGGGACATGAATAACACTTTGCTTGGGATGAACAGAGCTGGCTGTGGAAACTTGGTTGGACCCAGAGTCCAGGTGTGCTGGGGACCCAGAAGGATGGGTAGGAGAAGCAGGAAAGGATGCCAAGACCAGGCGAGCCAGGGAACCAGGGAACCTTTTCTGAATGTAAAAGACAGGGGCAACAGGAATCCTAAATATACAATGTAAATGCATAGTTATACTGTTTTATGGATAGTGGCTCAGTTCCTTTCATACTCGTTGACTGAAATACGCATATAAAATAAAAACTGGCTTCAATATGAGTCCTGATTTTTTTCCCTTTCCTCTTGAAGTAAATTTTTGTGTGAAACATGTAAAAATTGCTGGCTTGGGTAAACTATTTTTTTTTCTTTAAAAAATATCAAATTTTCTAATAGTTCATGTTGATAATTGATTTTTAAAAGCATATTACAAGGCATCTTTTTGTTTTTATGAGAAAGGCTCCAATCCCCTCTTGCTGATTATTGGTAACTCTGGCTCTTCTACACATCAGAGACACAAGCTTCAACTCTGGTTCATGGAATAAAACTTTGCAAAAGGTCAGGATCGAGTGTAGTAACCTAAATTAATCCCGAGACTCCTCCCTTCATGCAGTCTAGGTTGCAGGTTAGGCAGAAATTAGCCCTGTGGTTTAACTCCCACAAAGGAATTTGGATAAGTTAACTCATTATTCCTTAAATTTCCCCCACCCTCTTTGGATTGAACCTAAGGCCTCATGCTTACTACACAAGCACTCTACCAGCCTTTGGGGGGAAAAAGTTATCTTGAGACAGGGTCTTGCTAAATTGCCCAGGTGGGACTGGAATTCACAATCCTCCTGCCTCAGCCTCTCTCAGTGCTGGAGTACAGGTCTGTGCCTCCCAGACCTGCGTTATTAATTTGTGTTTAATTACTGTACAGAGTGGAGGTGACACCTCATTGTTTCCCTGCGAAGATTAAGTGAGATGTGCTGTAAGCCTCGCACCTGATTTAGAGCAAACTTTTGCTACCATCAGCACAATGAAATGGACCCCCATTCCTCCAAAGGGTCTGGACTCCCCACCCCAGGCAGGGCTGAGAGGTTTCCCTGAGGCATCTCCAGCTCTGCTAATCAAAAGGAACCTGATTATGCTCTGGAGATGATCCTAAAGTTTGTATATACAATATTTACTTGTCTTTTCCGTTAGACAAGAGAGAAAGCTAGAAGAAACCAAACAAAACCAGTGCCACCATTTAAAATCATTTGGAAGAAGTTAATGCCTCATCATCTCAAACGGTTCTCTTCTGCCATCTAGTGGACAGAGGAGGAAAAACCAGATTTAGAGCTAAATAAATTTATTTTTTTTCATCAGGGTCTGTAATTTACCAAAAAAAAGGGTTTCCTAGTTAATATCATTTAAACTTTCTACCAAATTAATTTATTAACCTTTCACTTATTAGCAATTCACTTAAATTTTTAAAGAAAACAACAATCCAGTATTGTACACATTAAGCACTAAAACCAAATTTCCAGACTCTTGCAAACTGTGAATTTCCCAAAGATCAGCTATGGAGAGAGAGTGACTGGTCTCATCATTAGGACCTTTCCGACTGACCTTTAGCGTTGACACGGTCCCTGTATCTTTAAATGTAGCGTTTTTCACGTTTATTTTGGCACACGGACGGGGGCACAGATCCGTGAGGGTGTTGGTCTCCTCAAAATACTGGCTGAAATCAGTGAAGGAACGAAACGGTTCCATTTATTTCTTTAAAAATGCACCAAAATTTCAGTTGCGAAGTAAGGAAGATAAAGAAGACGTTTTTTTTTTTTTTTGGTGCCTGGGATCAAATTCAGGACCTTGCGCTTGCGAGGCAGGTGGCGGCGCCACTGAGCCATTCCCCGGCCCATGGGAAGATGAATACTTAAAGATTGTGTGCTTGGATTAGCCCTTCGCCTCTGTATGCATCTGTGGGGGATGATCAAAATACACAGTGAATGCTGAAATTGAAAAACTTTATTACAGTAAAAAACATTGCCATTAACCCCCCTCGAGAAACTCCCCTCACTTTATTTATTTATTTAATGTGAGACGGGGTCTCGCTACGCAGTTCAGGCTGGCCTCGAACTCACCATGTAGCCCCGGGCCTTGAACTCGCCGAGCTCCTCCACCACTCCCAGCTCCCCCTCACTTTAAACACTCTTTCCCCACCCTTCTTGCCATCCTTAGCTGGCGGGGCGACCCTTCTTGGACTCTTTAAGTGACGCCGGCTCCCTGACCTGACTCGAGCTGCAGGGAAGACATCACTCTTATTTCGAGCGGGGACAAAGAGCAGGGATGCCGGCTCATCAGCTGCAGGACTTGGCCTGGAGACCACGACAGCCGGAAGGGGCTGCCAAGCAGGTGAAAGTGAACAGTTTGAGAGAAGAAGGCAAGGAAGGAGGCAGGTGGGGAGGACAGGAAGGGGAGGGCGAAGGCGAGGGTGAGGAGGTGGTCAAGCACAGGAGCAAGGCAAGTAGGACCCTGAGGGCCGCGTGGATCTTTCTTCTCTGTCGCAGTATCTCAGTGCTGCAAATGCGACCTGCAGCTCACAGATACCCCCAGCCCACCCTACAGCGCAGCGCGCAGCCAAGGGCCTGCCTGAGCAGTGTTAGAACAAAGGAGAGTCCAGAAGAGACACCATGGCTGTGTCCCCTGTGCGGTCCCGGACCCGCCCTTCCCCCCCAAGGCAGCTTCAGCCCTGAGTTCATCCCCACAGCGACCTGGGAAGGCAGCGAAGGAACAGGGACCTTCAGGGACAGCGCTGTGCTGCATGTGAGGGTCCCCTTACAGCTCCTCCTGGCCTGTTTCTGTTCCGCCACTGTCCCTCCCTCCTGTTCCTCCATCTTCCTCTCCTCCTCTCTGGATCCCTCTAGAAGGACCTGGCCTAACCCAGGAAGCCGAGGGCCTGGGCCTTCAGTGCAGCTGTCATCCCCCAGCCTTCTATGTCCCCTTGTCCCCATGCAGCAAGCTCGGCTATTTCCTGGGCACAGTAGCTCACAGGTGCCACAGCCCCTGAGTGCCTAGGTGGCTTATTTTGGGGGAGGATAGCTCCAAGTTAACTGCTGAGAGATTTGTATCTAGATTTGTTGGTTAAAACTCGATTTTAGTCTGGTGCTATGGCATACGCTTGTAATAAGAGCACTTGGGAGGCTGAGGCAGGAGGATTGCTCTAAGTTCAAGTCCAGCCTGAACTGCATAGCAAAACTCTGTCTCAAAAGAAAAAAAAAACTAAATAAAATAAAAGAGCATCTTTTATTTTTAATTTTCATTAATTATTACCTTTCATTTATGTTTAGCTATTTACTTTCCAGTTGTTTTAATTTTGTAGTTGGTTTTAAGGTTTTCTTTTTTTTTCTGGTACTGGGGTCTTTGCACTGAGCAACACCTTTAATCTGTATTCCCCCCATTTCTTTTTTTTTTTTCTTTTGAGATAGGGTACAGACTTGGGGACAGTTCTCTGGATTTCTTGGACTTGGCTTGAACTTCCGAATCTTCTGCCTCAGCCTCCCAGAATACTGGGTTTACAGACCCGTTCCACCAAGCCCAGCATGGAGTTTTTTTGTTTGCTTGTTTGTTTTTTTTTAGTTTGTTTTCAGCTACTTCAGTTAATTGTACTTATTTCATTTTGTATAGGCTTGGAATATTTTATTTACAGTCATTCATTATTAGATTTGGCATCTATTACTTTTCATAGTTACTCTATTTTCAGTTATTGTCATTTTGAGTTATTTCTGCCTTTGCTTTTGTCTATTTTTGATCTATGTAAGTGTTGGGTTACTTTGAGCTATTTTCTGGTATGCTTTGTTTTTAGTTTTTAATTTTTACATTTGTTTCGCTTGTGAATTATTTAGCATTGTCACTTAATTTTAAAGGTATTTCCAAACTTTTAAATGCTGCGAGTTTCTGATCTTCAGAAAGTGTCAGAGCTTTTCCCTCTTTCAACTTCTGAAGCTGGGCATGGGGGCACACGCCTATAATCCCAGCACTCGGGAGGCTGAGGCAAGAGGATTGTTGTGAGTTTGAGACCAGCCTGGACTACATAGTGAGTTCCAGATCAGTCTCAACTACATAGTGAGACCCTGTCTCAAAAAACCAAAACCAAAACTTCTGAGTTAACTTCAGAGTTACTCGTTCCTGTCCTTTGTCCTTTTACTTTGGGGTGTACTTATTTTCAGACCCGCTGTTCTAGGTTTGCAGTTGTTCCTCCATGTCTGCGAACCAATGGTTTGTGAACCCCTGGGGGTACAACTGTTGCAGACCCCAAATCTCTGTGTAACAGGGGCAGCATTGGCATTAGCTCTGCAGTCCTCCCAGACCCCTGGTCGTTTTCAGACTGGGTGCCGTGCCTCGCCCTGTGGAAATGCTACATTAACAGTTGTTACACTGTAATGTTCAGAGGGTGCATATGACAGAGGGAAAGACTGTGCACGGCAGGACAGATGTAATCTGAGAAAGAAACTCTGTCTGCTGTGGTTTGATTCCTCTGATGCACAGCGGTAGGCAGGGGTGAGAGACACTGAGGTCTGAGTGTGGCATCTGTTGGGGCGCACTCACTGGTGGGCATCATGGGCATCATGAGGTTTGTTTGTTTGTTCTTGGTACTGGGGATCAAACTCAGGACCTTGAGCTTTCGGGGCAGGCACGGCGCCACCGAGCATCCCCAGCCCTACAGATTGTTTTAACAGGTAATTAATATAGAGAATTGTTATCCAGCTACTAGAGAACTAAATATGTAAGACAGTGAGGTAAGGAGGAATCATGTGGATTTCAGTTGTAGGAGCAGCTACAAAGGGCAGAGGTTGGAATCCTCCCAACTCAGAAGCTGGAGGAGGCTGCAGCATGGGTTTGGGCTGTGGGGAGCGGGTGCTGTCCACACAGGTGGCTGGGGTGGGATCTGGGCTCTGGGGTCTGGAAGAGGATCCCGGAGGAGGAGGAGCAGGAGCTGGGCCCTCAGGTGCTGGGGTCTCTGACGGGGTGTGACGGGCTGGTTGTGGCAGACTGGACCCCAAACTGCGGCTGGGGCCCACGGAGGGCCTCGGCTGGAGACCGCTACTAGGGAAAAGCGGGCAGGAGGGCACGCGCGCCCCTCTCCTCCGCCAGCCTCTGCGGTGCTCAGAGGGACGTGCGGGCTGGCCGTAGAGTCCCTCAGTTCTAGAATCGGTTTCTTTGCAGTTGCTAGCGGCGGTGTGGCCTGAAGTCTAAACCGGATGTACAGTGAGGCCGAGTCTAGTCCCCGATTGTTTCTGGTCCAGCGAGACTCAAGTAAATCACTTTAGAATTTAAGAAAACAAAAATAAGGTGCCTCACTTTGTTCGACTAGGACGTGGATCAAAAGGGGGCAGGAAAGGCACGGACTGTCAGGGAACGGTTCCGCACTAGCGTGTGCTCCTCTTTGAGATTTTTCAGAACTCTAAACTTCAGTGTTGTCCCACCCACCCCCTCCTCCCAACTCCTTTCTAACAGTGGTGTTTCTTTCCAGATGGACACAGAATGCGTCTAAAAAAATTCAGAGCGTCGACGTCAGCAGAATGGCATCAAGTCCTCCCCAGTCCCTAAAATCGTTCTGGTGTCCGGGATGGCGAGGACACCTCACACAAGAGGTCCGAGTGGAGGGGAGCAGGGCAGGCACCCCGCTGGCCTGAAATGGCTGGAACGAGGGAGAGGTCGGTAGCTTTGGCTCTGGTTTTTACTGCTGTTCCACACAGGCTGGGATGTGTGGTTTGAACTTCCCCGCTGGCGCAGGAGAGAGAACGGGTACTGTTTCTTATGCCCAAATATGTGAAAGAGGGGTGTGGAGCTTGAATACCAGTCGTTGGTCCAACAGCAAAAATGGATCTCAGCTGGGTATAGTGGTTTGCACCACCTCCCAGGAAGCTGAGGCAAGAGGACGCCCGTAGTCCCCGAGTTCGAGAGCAGCCCGGGTAACACAGGGAGACTCAGAACAAACAACGATGAATCCGGACTTGATTGCAGTTGGTACTCAAATGCCAAAGTATCTTTCCTGAGTGACAGAGCATTCATATTTGTAGACTACAGCAGTTATTTGGGCAATGAAAGCAGCTCTCCCCAAAGTCTGTACGAAATATGTTCCTTCTATCTTCATCACTTTCTTTCTTTGTGAATTATTTTTTAATTCACACCATTCCCATGCGACCATAAGGGTGTTTATGTATTCACTCGTTCTGCACCTATTTCCCGAGCCCTGCCTCCTCCTAAGGAAGTCCTGGCCCCAGGGGGAGTCCAGGGAGGCAGGAAGATGGGAGAGAAGCTCTCAGTCCAGTGGGGGAGAGATACGTGGGAACAGATAATCACCGCACGGTGTGACAGTGACTCCAGGGGTAAAGAACACTTCCACTGCCTTCCGGATGTGGTCAGGGCAGGAGTGACATCTGAGCTGTGTCTTGCAGAGCCGAGGCCCCTCCAGGTGGAGAAGAAGGAGACCCTGCGCTGGGGGATCAGCTCGGGCTCAGGTACAAGGTGGGAAGGAGCCGTGTGCGGCGGGGAGAACGCAGGAACAGAGGCCTCTGAGCCACAGAGCTCGGAAAGGCACTGATACGCAGGTCCAGCCATGGCCTCAGCAGCTGTTGCCTCCTGTGGTCGTCACTGCACAGGTGCAGGTGTGTGTGTGGGGGGTGCCACCTCAGGCACTGGTTCTCTTCCTGTTCCCAACAATAACATTTCTGGACGGACAGCTTCGTGCCATCCTGGCTTTTCCTTTCTCCCAGGCACATTTGCACTTGTGCAGTGGCTGTGAGTCCCTCCCTCATTGGTTTTTATTCTTCCTTCTCGCACATCTGTAGGGAAGGAGGAAGGTTGAGAGAAGCCAGCAGTGACACGTAGGTGAGGCCAGCTGTGCTGGAGGAAGGAGCTGGTGGGAGCCCAAGAAACCCGCTGTGGTCTGGTGGAGCGGTTGTGGGCTCAGGGCGTGACCTCTCATGACCTCCTCCAGCTGCAGCCAGCAATCTTTGAATGAGTGTGGGTGCCGTTCCAAAGAGGGAATCTGTCGTAGATCTTCCCCGGGCTTGTGAATTGGGCCTTTAAAAGGCGTGCAGAGTCCTTTGCTGGATTAATGAGGGATATGCCTGCAAAGTCAAGAGAAAGCCTAGTCCTGGGTGATCTGTGATGATGAATCTTCTTACTCTTTCTGATATACACTGATATTCAGTCTTGACCCCGAGAGACTAAATTACTTAACAAGCTGAGTACATTAAAAATGTTTTTAGCTGAATTCTCTGCTCTGGTTTGTATGCCTCTCAAATTCATAGATTAATGTCCTACCCCCAGGTGCAGCTCTTGGGATGGGAATAGTGGCCTTATACAAGAGACCCCAATGTCCCTTTTGTTCTGTGAGGATTCAGACAAGTAGCTGCCACCTGTGACCCAGGAATCACTCACTGCTCACCTTGATCTTGGACTACCTGGTCTCCAGAACTGTAAGTAACAAATACCTGCTGTTTACAAGCTGCTGAGTTTATGTTACTTCATTAGGGCAACCCAAATGGACTAAGATGATCTTGCCAATCACAGCATATCCATACCTCTACAAGAATATGGCAGAACTTCAGACAGTTTTGCATCTTAGCCAACAGAGGATTCTTCAGGACTCTGGCCATTGGCCTTTAGAAAGCCACTTGAATCCTTTTAAACACATTTGACCATTGGATAGCCTGCCACTCAGTACAGAAGCACAACCCATAGTGTTCACTGCTGGGGTGCTGTCCCTACGCGCTCTGGGACACATCCCACTTTAGCTCAGAGGACATTGTGTTCTCTTCCCCAGGGGCCTGCCCACAGTGGCCACCCAGTAAACGTGTTGGTTATTGTGGTTCTAGTATATTTTTGTACCTTGGAGTCTTCATGCTAGGTGAGCAATCTCCAACTAAGCTATATCCCCTGCCCATGGTACATTCTTAATGCCCTTTGAATGTAAGAAAAAAATAAATAAAAGATGGCTGTTCTGTGGGAAAAAATTGTTGTCTTCTTTCCATTTGTTTAGAAAAGAAAAATGAGATGAAAGTCTTCTAAAAATTTTGGAAGAATTGTTCATACCCCCATGGTTTTTTAATATTGCCTGTTCTCTAGAGGAACTCAGATAACATGCTTGGGATAAAGTGGTTGGTCTAAAGGAAGCCCTGATTCTGTACATTTTGGCTTTCCAGATGCATACTAAACAGTAGCTGTGCATTAGGAAAAATTTAGAGAGAGAGAGAGGAAAAAAAAGAAATAATCTAAATCAACATTTCTAGAGTGGTTTTCAGAACCAGAAAAAGAATACAAGAGATCAGCAATTTTCTTCTTTACATTGTTCTGTAGGAAACAAAACAAAACAAAACAAAGACGTTTAAAGAAACAACAAACTTCTTCAGGTGCAGACAAATTGTATAGGAAAGAAGAAGCTTGCATACTTTTTTTTAAACATGTGATCACTGAGTTTTACCACAAGTCCCCCAGTATTTTTAACCCCATTATTTCCCAGTGCCTTTGACCGCAGAGCTCTCCATTGTGAAACGTCACACGCTCTGTGTAGTAGCAAGCTGCTGCACCAGAAAGACCCAATGATACAATGACTTAAACAATAATTTATTGCTGTTTCATGTGTTGTGCAGGAAGACTGATCCACCCAATTATTCAGAATCCCCAGCTTCTTCATTTGGGCTCTCCATCATCCTCTTGAACATTTTCTCTTTCTCTTTATGGTCACAACTGGGTACCAAGTAGGGAAAAGATTAAATGATCACATACGCAGAATTTCAGACTCGACCTGGAAGTGGAACACATCACCTACTCTCAGATTCACTGCTGAAAACTTAATCCCATTGTTACTGGATGGTGGGTCCTGGGGAAATTCTTTTCACGTTCTTGGTGTCCTGAACAACAACAACAAAAAAAACTGGACAAGACACACAGAAAGGTGGTGGTAAAAAAGGACTCTGCAGGGTGAGAGTGAATGGGTTAAAAGACTTACAGTGGCCCTGAGGATAAGGGAAAGGGGCTTTGTCTTTTCTTTCCTTTCTTTGAGATAGTGTTTTAATTACCTTTTCTCATTGCTGAGACAAAATACCCAACATCCAAAGTTAAAGGAGGACAAATTTATTTGGCTCACAATTTGTAGAGGTTTCAGTCCATAATCAGTTGGCTTCAAGGTAGGGCAGCATGAGTGATCCCTTTTCATGAATTATTGACTGAATTAGTATTTTCACTATTATTCATTTAATAGTATTTTATGTTGTCTGTACTCCACACGGCTCTGGGTTTTGGCAGTTGTGTGATGACGCATACCCACCATTATAATACTTCTCCTTGTTTATTTTAGCCATTCCATGCAGTGACATTTTATTGTGGCTTTAAATTGCATTTCCTTAAGTTGCTGATAACGTTGAACAACATTGCTTGTGCTTATTTTTCATTTGCATGCCTAAATTGGTAAAGTACGTGTTCCTGCGCCTTGCTGGTTTTCTAATTGGATTTTTTAACCATTTGTTTTTGAGAGTTCTTTATAAATCTAGATATGAATTCTTTGCAGCCTCTATGGCTTCTCCAGGCTGTGGATTGCCCCTTCCCATCCTCTCAGCAGGGTCTTTCACAGAGCCACAGTTTTAATTTTGATGCAATCTCGCCGATCAACTTTTCTCTAGTGGATCGTGTGTTTGGTGTCATGTGTAAGAACTCTGCTCCCGGCTCTAGTTCTCTGTGTTACTTTCCTAGGGTCGTCGTACCGAATCACCACAAATGGGATGACAAAATCCAGAGATTTATCTTCACCTCCCGCTGCAAGCATGACAGGCATTATTTTCACGTGTGCTGATTCCTGTCATGTCTCTCTAGGCAAAATAATTATGCATATTTTGGAGGTTTACTCCTTTTTTTCTAACAGCTTTGCCTCTTTCTGTGTAAAGTCTTCTATTTGTGGATGTTTTGGCCTTGGTAGTTTGTGCCTGTTGGTGCTCAGTACTACACCTGCCTTTTCCTACCTCTTTGTATTCCTGGAGCTGGATGCCTGGATTGACATAGCCTAGGCACCTTTATCAGTTGGGTTTCAGTTAGATTTTGTGCAACAAAAAGCATCTTTGCAAGATGGAAGTGGGGATAAAGCTGTTGAGTTTCAGGGAGAGTCCCTGGCAGTGACAGTGACTCCTGTGGGTAGCGGTGGAAGAGACGCTTGCATGCAGGACAGGCAGTGAGGGTGCACTGAAAGGTTTCAGCCTGGGTCACCATTTCCTGGTCTCTAAGCATCTCCACCTCCCTCCCTTGGTTTCTCCAAAATGACTGAAACATAAACTTTGGCTAATAGAACATTTTAGTGTCAGGAATGGTCCAAGGGTCTAACCCAAGGTATGAATCTAGGGTTGTTTATTGGAGTGGCTGGGCCCTGGCCCGGGAAGTGGGTTACAGTTAATCCACAGAGTACAATGGCAGAGGAGTTAGATGCCGTGCAATTGCAGCCATCTTTTTGTAAGAGATAAAGGCTTATTTTTAAAAAATATTTTTTTAGCATCCGGGATCAGAGCCTTGCACATACTAAGCAAGTGTCTGTCCTTGAGCTATATTCCCACGTCAAGACAAAGGCTCCGTTTCCTTCCTTGCCAGTTTCTAGGGATTGGAAGGATGGAGGGGAATACTTCAGGGTGGCTGACTTCGCCACTCCAGTTTTCAGTATTATTTTTCAAAATACGGTTGTTTAACTTACTTGTTTCAGTTAAAGCTACTTTTAAAAAGTCACATTAAAAAAAAAAAACACCTGATAAAGCTTAACCATACTTCAGGGAAACTGAGTCACTGGGCTTGTTGGGTCTGTATCTCAAATTTGATGCTCACCGCAGTTTGAACTATGGCCCTGGATCTCAGAGGAGAGGACTGCATGTAAATGATCCTTTTGTTCTAGCTGGTAACACTTCTGACCTGGGAGAAAGAGTGGCCTCCAGGCTTTCAGATGGAAGGTGTTGCAGTTACAGTCACTAAGCCAGCAGCTGCAGAATTGCTCTCTCCACTGGATGGCCTTTGTGGTGGGTGGCAGATTTCCCTGAGGCCTTACAAAATGACAAGCTTTCCCAGCGCTGCTGGCTGACAGCCAGTCCTGACTCAGTCTTGGTGTGATCTTGGGGCCAAAGTCACTTCGCCTTGTGTAATAGTTAAGAGCCTGCTGAAACCGGCTGCATTCCCACAAGGGCAGAGGCAAAGACTTTTCTGCCAACTCAAATTTACCCTGAAGCATGGACGTGAATCTTCAGGGTTCATAGTCTACCAGGAGGGGTGAAAGACATGAGATATTAGAAAACATGGATGTGGTAGTCCGATTTAGGTTCACATCTTGGGTCTGTACCTTGAACAAGTCACTCATCCTCTGAGAACTCTGGGTTCTTTGTTTGTAGAGTGGGAGATATCACAGCTATCTCTAAGGAAGACTGAGTATGCTCATTCATTGACTCACTGACCCAAATGGTTGCTGTTATTTATCTTGTACCAGGTCCTGTTTTAGCAGGTAGGGGGTAAACCCTTGAATAGACAAAGCTCCTGCTCTGCATTCTAACAAGAAGCAAGAGGTAGTAACGCAAACCAAAATTAAATGAGAAAATGCAACAATAAAAAATAAAACAGTGGAGGGTCGTGATTTAGCTCACTAGCACCCCTGCCTTGCAAGTGTAAGGTCCTGAGTTTGATCCCTGATACCAAAAACCCCCAAAACAAAACAAAACAAACAACCAAAAAGAACAGCAGCAGCAACAACAAAAAGAAAACAGTGGTGTAACTGACAGTTGCTGTAGTTTCTCTTTGGTACAGTCTGCCTGCTAAACTACACGTAGCTTCATCTCTGTGGCACTCTACCTAAGGCAGTGGCCCTTGTAAGGACTTCATGTCTCCAATCTTTCCAGCTTATTATGAATTCTCTAGAAATATTTGCATATTAGCAGAAGGTCCAGATTACAGACCAAATTTTTGCTTCCTTTACTGGTGGACACTTACTTAGGCTCTGTGCCTCTGTCTGGGACTATTCTGTTTCTGAACATCTTGTTAAATTTGCTGCTGGCACCCAAGGCTCCCCACTAGAGTTATCAGAATGTGTATCTTGCACGAACTGGCCCTGATCCTGGCCTTTAAAAATAAATCATGGATTTGCCCAGAGAGCCATAGGTGTTGAATGTTGTTATTTGCAAGCCTGAGCCTTCTAGAAACACCTAAGTGGGTATTCCAGCAGTCCACAGCTGGGCTCCCCAGTAGGCACACTGGAGGTACAGGCAAAATGGGGCTTGCTCTCTCTGTCTCTCTCTTCACACACACACACACACACGCACACACACACACACACGCACACACACACACTCACACACATTTTAAAACTTTGTCCTGAGATTTGCAGCCAGAAAAATTCAAAAGATAGTGTCCCAATATCAAACTTTATGTAAGCTTTTTGTTCTCTTGGACTTGAATTACCTAA